TATATAATTTGTATTTAATAAAAATTAAATTATTAATAAAATTATAATATATAACTTTTTATATTAAAAGTATATAATAAAAAATATTAAAGAGTTAACAAACTAATAATAGTAATTTCTTTTAATTGACGATGAGGTTAAAATTAAACAAAGGGAGACAAAATGGATTTCTTGAGTCAATAAGGATTTATGAAGTTAGGTACTTTCACCTGATCTTATTGTATTTTTCTTTTGTTTTTGTGCTTATGCATTAGTGTGTGGTCTCAATTATCGATTTGATTTCCAGAAGTAAAATTTAGGCTACATTATGCTATAATATTTGAGGTTATAGTAGGTCTTTATATTTTATATTCAAACATGATAGTTACGTTCACCATCGCCAGAATATACTCAAACAAGATAGATACAGACATTATGCTACATTTTGCATAGGTGACTTTTCACTTGTTTGGATACAAATTACTTATGAGAAATAATCATTCTTAAAAATTCTTGAAATTTTGATAAAAATATTATTTCAGAAAAATAACTTGAACGAAATGTAGAACAAAAATATTTCTATTTTATAAAATTAGATGTTTTATTCTGTCTATTAAGGCCACTGAGAATGAGAACATATCTTAGGTATGAGTGATATTTTGTGAGTAAAAAATAAATTATTTTGTTAACTGATTAGTATTTGAACTTATAAATTTATATTAATTTTAACTTTATATAAGTATAAGTATGTTTTTACTTTTTATTTTTTAAGTAAATTTAATTTTTTTTATATAAATTTTAAGTTTTTCTTAAACTCTTTTTAATAATATATATTTTGTGTTTTAAAAAAATTATTTTGTGAGTAATTATTTATATCTAAACTCGAAAACATTATATTCATTCATTAAAAATCAATTTTATAAATACTCATTAAATTGAAGTTCAATTATCATCGATTTACAATGCCAGGGCTAAACAGCGTTCATAGTGTGTAATAGGAAATATTCAGACACTATAAACGAAAGAGAATGTTGGAGAATCACCAAATCTTTCCTCATTATAATTTCTTATTCGTAAAATCTTTTAACAACTCCTTGAGAAAGCTCTTTAGAAAACTCAAATAATTTATTATATAACAAATGAACTATACAAAATAAGTATCCATACGATAAGATAAAAAGTTAAAAAACATAATTAAAATTCAAATAAAATTATTTATATCAAATTAAGTCTAAATTAATAATAATTTTATTTTTATTTTTATCACTCTTGATTATTGTCAAATTATATATTTGTACAAAGGCTGAGTTTGGGTTATAACATCAGCAAAGATTAATCGACATCTTCCAAAGATTAATCAATATAGTAATAATAATGACAATAAACATACATATGATAATTATGAAAATAATAGGAAAGTTGAAAGTAAGATTAAAATAAATAGTCGAGATAGTAAAAATATAGAATTGCAGTGTTAAATTTTTAATTGCAGTGAGTCTTAAAAGTAGGTTCTTGAAAGCAATGCAATATTTGAGGTGAGGGAGAAGGTGGTGGTAGGAGTAACTATATAGTGACAAGGTTAACATTGTTATGAACGTATGTTAAACAAATGAAAGACGATGATAAAAAATGAATGAAAGAGGAACAAGTGAAAAATATTGACGAGTTAATATACATATTTTTTTAAATAACTTATTTAAAATATTTTTAAAAAATAAAAAATAAAAATGAATCAAAATAAAATTAGAGAACATAATTAAAATACTTATAAATAAAACGAAAACGCCAAATTTACTGTATTATATAAACATATATGAGATTTAAATGTCAAATTTATAAAAATTGAGTTTATTCTATTTATATAATTACAATTATTATTAAACTTAAGTTTATTTATTTAAAAACAAACAAGTACCAACGAAATGTAGCATATTTAATCATGTTTAAGTTCTTAATCTTGTGCATAAAAAGATTTTATAAAAATAAATTACTTCAATAATATTTACACCTTAAAAGGAATATTCATCGATCGTCAATTAATTCACACTCTTAGCACTCTTATACACATAATATTTAATAGGTAAATTCAAATGATTTTCCAATAGCTTAATTTACATGCTTGACATTTTTAATGGTTAATTTTGATTCTCTGATATTAGTAAACAACTTGAGGAGACGAAATAATAAATTTAGGTGAAATTTAGTGTTTAATTTTGTTACATTATTAATAATTGTTTTATAATATCAATTAATTCAAATTACTTAAATATAATTTTTGAATTAATTATTATAACAATTAATTTTTTTAATTATATAGCAATTCGGTGTTAAATAATAATGAAAAAAATTATATTTATCAATATATTACTATAAAATTAAAAATATTAAAATTAATCATACAAGTCTTTATGAGTTCATTTCATCTTTTAAACAATAATATGACATTAAAAATTAGCTCTTAATAATGACATTAAAAGGCTCACAATTTTTTACTATCGATAAAAAAATTATTTATCTTAAAACATATTTAAGTATAATCTTTGAAAATGAAAATTTAAAATTAGCACTTAAAGGGGAAGAAAGAAAAACTTGGACACTAATAAAAAAAGTATTATAACATCGTGTCCTTAAAATCTTTACCACTCATCTCTCTTTTTCCCTTTGCTTTAAGGTACATTATTCATAGTCATCCGCGCCTCCAATGCTCCACTACTTCTCTCTCTTCTTGAAGTCACTCTAATCACGATGATTCGCTCCATCAGAGCCCTTATTACCTCTCTCTCTCGCTCTTCCCCTCTCATCAAAGCTACATCACTATAACCCAGCCCCTCACAATGGTCAGTAGTTCTATCCCATAACCACTATGACATTGGAAGAGGAATAAAGGTGAAAAATCATTGCCGGAGTTAACTGCAATTCCCAACCAGTTCCAACACCACTGTGTTTTTGTAAATTTGCAAAATCATCGTCACCATTGTTGAAACTTGAGAGTTTTGTGTTTGCGTTAAGACATTAATGGTTGTTGTAATTTGAAGATCTGTTATTCCCTCGTAACGTGGGGTCAAGGTGACAGTCTGAAGTGTGATGCATGAAGGAAGAACAAGAGTGCATGTCTTTGAGAGAGAGAAAGAGGAGGTGGCAGAGTTGGCTTACAATATATTAGAGAAAGGACTTTAAAAGATGGAAGTAACAATGATGACATAAAATCAACTAGATTAGTTTCTAACATTATATGAAACAAGGTTGATTTAATATTTATGTATCATTTAATGATAAATAATATTTTTTAGGTGTTTATTAATAACAATGACTTAATTCTTATACAACTAACTATGTAAGAAATTAACAAGACAATTTAAATAAGTAAGATTAATATTCACTACTTCTACCATTTAAAGAATTAATTTGTGTGTTTTCTCTTTCTTTTATTATTTTCAAAGTGTCTTTTAATATTCTAAATTTTATAAAAATTCATTACCTTCAGTAACACACAACAAAAATAGTATTTATTTTTTATAATTAAAAATAAAAAATTGTAATTGTTTTTCTTATAAAAAAACCGAAAGCATTATTTATTAACTCTTATCATATCTTTTATTTACTATTCTTTACCAAACAAATATTATTCTTAAAACATAAAGTTATAAAAAAAATTCAACTATGCATTAATTTAGTAAAATAATAATAAAAAATGAGCAACTTTTAATTAGCAGTACCCAGATTTAATCCGGTAATTGCACTAAATTTAAGAGTTCAACTTTTATTTTACCTGTAATCCTTTTTACTTTTTTTTGGGTTTATGTATTATTGTCATATTTTATATTTTAATTTAAAATTCATGAATATTTTATTGACTGAAATATTTTTTTCCATATAAAGATATATTTTGTTCTTATTTTCTCTAAATTTGAGTTTTGTTTAATTTTTTATTTTTAAAGGTAAGTAAGTTTACTTTCTGTGGTTATTATAAATTTGCCAGTGGGTGCTAAGAATGGATTTTTATCTTACAGCTAAAAGAAACGTCAACATTTAACGGGTTTATAAACAGTAGAGATTTAAAAAAAAAAAAAACTGCTTATATTTTAGAAATATGAAATGAAAGCTAAAACTCAAAATTTAAATGTACAAAAACTAAAAATTGATTGTAAAGATGAAAAGATATTTCTAACATTAGTCACTCTATTTTTCCATTTAAACTAAGATTCGTTATTTGTCATCAACTGGTCAGTAGTTTATTCCAAAGCATCTTGTGCAGAAAGGTCTGATGCTTGCTTCACAATCACTTTTTGTTTTCGAATGAACAATTTATAATGACTAATTAATTGATTTTATATATTAAGATTATAACTATTTCAAACTTGTAAAGGGCTTATCTACATATTCCGTTGTTTTTCTTTGTTTCAATTAATATTATTAATTGATAAGCGATAATAAAAAAAGACGAAAAGAAAAGAACAAGAAGGAATATATAATTGAAAATGTACAATGTGGAACCAAATGTATGATAAATAATTAAACATTGGCTAAAATATAGTTCAGAATTATAATATAGAAGGATTACCACATGAATTCAACTGTACAATACAACAATATACGAATTAGAATTAAAATATTTAAAGAAAGAAATATGAAGTATTAAATATAATAGAATATTCAATTCCAGTTACGTGAAGATAAGGACTTTGAAACTGCAGTATAACCAGAACAAAATAATAAATAGGACTTCAACAGTTATGTCAAAAAGTAGAAAGTTAAAAATGAATTCAACTGAATAAAACAAACCAACATGTTTCCACCAATGATACAAAGGAAGAGTGGCAAAAATTTTCACATTCGAGTCTTATAATAAAAGAAAAAAATTCAGAAATAATTCTAATTAATAGTGACTTCTACACAAGAAAGTAAATTAAAAAAAAAAAGAAATTTATTTCCATTATCATATATATATTTTTGTAATGTACAGAATAAGGTGAAAAGTTAAGTAGAAAAAAAAAAGGTTGGTAATGCTAAACAGGGGTTGTGTTCTTCCTAATAAATGATTCACTGTTTATTCTTCGTAAAACTTAGAAGCAAATTACGAGTGAGGCAGAAGGAAAGGTGAGAAGAATTAAAATCAAAACAACTCATATGCCCAAGATTCTGAATCCATGACCATTCTTGAGTACTGAGTGAGAGGAGCATCAAATACTTGCTTTCTATCAGCATCATCATCATCATTAATCAGAAAATCTAGAGTGCTAATAAAGTCATCATCCCACAAGGCCATAGTGCTGTTGTTGTTGATGATGATGTTGTTTTCATTGTTGTTATTGTTAATACTATTATTATCATTGTAATTACAAGACCATTCAAAATCCGGGAATTGTAGGTCTTCAAGGAAGTTGGTTGAATTTGAAGAGGAGGTAGAGGAAGATGAAGAGGAAGGAGCACAAGGCACTAGAATCTCATCAAGTTCTATAATTGGAACTTCATCTGTGCAAAACCCATCCATCAGATCCGTTGTGTCAAACTGGGGTGTCATAATTTTGTCTTCCTCTTTGGCTTCAGTGATGGTTGATGAATCCAATGAAGTCTCTGGCTTCTCTGTCTCCTTATTCTGTTCAAATTTGGGGTCAAAGTCAACTTGCAAAGGTTGTTGGTCCTGCTGTTCTTCTGGTTGGTGTAGTTGTTTTGGTTGATTTTGAATTTGTTCAGTTGCATTAGAGAGGGGCTTGTGAGTGACAGGATCAATGCCCATTTTCTTCAATTTTTTCTTTATGTGGGTATTCCAATGGTTTTTTATCTCATTATCAGTTCTTCCAGGGAGATGAGAAGCAATCTTAGACCATCTGCATAAGAAGAAAAGGACAAGGAAAAAAAAAAAAGACTTTAGTAATTAGTGAAATAATATATTGATAACTCCAAAAAATAATGAAAGATTCCATCATTAACATAAGGTCCACGCGGAAATGACTTTAAAGGAAGAATGACTTCATAGCCACTAAAATGCTCCATGACATGCAAATTATGAAATAAAAAAAAAATTGTCCACAAGACAAATTTGGCCTCTATTTACTTTTATATGTCAATGATACCCATTTTTAGTCAATTTTAACTGCAATCATAAGCAGTTCCTTTTCTCTTTATTTTTTCTCTAAAAAATGTAAAAAGGAGGGGAGAGGAAAAAAGAGCTGTGTCTACAATTTTTATACGCCTCCTTCTCCTAGCTGGTGTGAGCCATGGGACCACATCTTCTCACTTAGATGTATAAACAAATTACAAATTGAGGTGCATGTATTATAAAAGTAACAAATTCAATTAGGTTGGTGCGTTTGGTGATATTAAAATATCTTTAGTTTGGTTTTGATAATTTCCTCAGATAAGCCTAGTCTAATATTTCAAAGGGTCACTGTAGCAATTATTTAATTTAATCATCGGTAAGGTTCTTCAAGGGAAAAATAAACATGCAAAACAGGGGGATCAGGGGGAAAGGGTGGTTGAGGAAAGAACCTATTGCCAAGTTGAGCATGAAGATCAATGACCATTTTCTCTTCATATTCTGATAACAGGCCTCTCTTTAAGTCTGGCCTCAGATAATTGGTCCACCTGAGCCTGCAACTCTTCCCACACCTTAATAGTCCTGCATGGAGTCACACCCCAATTGTCAAATTTAATTTCAACAAAGTGATTGTTTCAACATAGCATTTGTTGCATAAACATGTTTTGAAAAGGTGAAAGGAATATGCCAATTTTGAGTGCTCGATTTTCTTGTCTTTAAAAGGGAACAAAATGGGAAACAAATAATCAGGACAGAGGAACCAAGCCATGGCAGCACATATAGAAAGAAGTTAAGACCAAAAATCCATTGATCATAATGCAAAACATGTTCCAAGTTCAAACCATTTTAAAGATATTAATAGCCAAATAGCAAAGGAAGACTGAAACTCTAGCATTTCAGCTTCATTAACCATTCATTAAGGATAAAATGGCTGCATGATAAGGACTAAATCTCTAAGAGCCCATTTAGAAAATGCTCTAAACAATAGGAGCAATGAAATGAGACCTGCTAGTTTTGGAACAGCTCTCCAACAACATTGACCATTAGTGAGGATGAAAGTGATGAGCTTCTTATCCTCCTCTGCAGTCCATGGCCCCTTCTTCAACCCAACTTTGTCACAACAAGGTTGTCTTCCCATTTTGTATCAAAAGACAAATGCAACAAAGCTTGGTTACAAATGATCTCTCAACACTAGAAGGTTCAAATTGAGATTCAAAGAGAGAGAATTTAGAGTCTGAGTATATGCACATAAGCTAAGATAGAGCACCACCACCTACTTATTTATATATAGAAATCAAACCCTCTAAGCTCCAAAGTCACCAAAGCCCCACAAACCCACTATCAGAATTTATCTATTATTTATTGATGAATAAAGGTGTTCATATTATTTAAATAAATATAATTTATTTGTTAATTTCGCCTTTGTATTTTTCTGTTCAATTCGTTATCTGGGTTTACCGCGGACACGTGTTGATCAGGGATGAGAGATGGGCCACACGTGCCAGGTCTCAATCCGAAAGCGCCACCTCATCGACCAGCTTTGCTTGAGTCGGAAGCGTGAGATACTCCACTCACTAACTCAAACCTCCGAGGATGGTAAGAGTATTAAGTAAAAGTAAGACAATGCCACAAATGATAATTGATACATACACATCACAAGTTTAGTCTCCTCTTTTTTCTTTGACGTTTTCGTTTATAACTACTTCCAATCACAACGTCGACCCAAAGAGGGTATAAAATAATTTCAATAATTTCTTCATGTGTTGGATACAAAATTATGTCATTTAACAGTTATTGAATATTCCAATTTAATTCTTTACACCCTCATTGTACTAAGAAAGAAGATTAGAGACCATTTGTCAACAAAATTCTTTTGTTAAATAAAGATTATAATTATTAATTATTAAGGCGATAAATGGGAGGACCTAACACGTTTATAAAACAAATGTTAATATATGTTGTGGATAAGTTTTTCTGTTTTTTAATGGTAAGCACTAAAAAAATGGAATTTATGGTTTTTAAGGTAGGCTTCTATGCTTCGGAAAACAAAGTATACTACATTAAAAAAAATCTCAAAGTTTACATCTAAATATATTAAAATAAAGAAAGAACTTATCCAAACAAACGAAGACCATGCTCACATAAGATTTTGTTTTATTTTATTTTTTCCCCAAGTTGGGTCTTGAATGATGTGTTTCTACGAAATCATTAGTTTTGACCTCTTGGCACTCCATTACCAAAATTATATAAACAACCATTTAGGCTTTGTGATCTACTCAAGAGATTCTATGACTTACAGGTGACCCTCGTGTAATGTAATCCTTTAGAACTACGAAAGGAAGAACAAACGATGTGCCGTCGTAGAAAATTAGCCAGACAACTTCCGGTTTTTTTTTTTTTTTTTGGGTTTGATTTTATGAATAATTATAAAATATCACATTATTTTAATTTTTCTGAAAAAATATATAAAAAGAACCATGTAATTAGTGAAAAATTGGTGGGAAAAGAAATTACTTAAGTCGGGGAAGCACTTGAACCGAGATCAAAACTATTCCAAAACCATCTAAAATGGGTTGACTTAATATCAATAATCAAGATCCACTCCAATGAGTTATGATCCCAAGCTGGCTTCTACAATACTTATGCTGAATGCTAATATCGCTAAGAGATTTAGTCATCATATGAAGGTTGCATAGGGAACAAGAACGAAGTTCAATTTCTATCACATTACCTTGACTGGCACATTGTACAAATTTTGGTATGCTATCTTGTTCGTAATGTTATACTATTACTCTACTGAAATACCACCAATTGTGTAAAAGACTGACTTATTGGAGGAGTCCAACAGCGATTAAAGCTAAAAGAAAAAAAAATCTTAATGATTTTGAACGATGATTTTTATCTTGAAAATATTATATTATATTCATTTTTTTTTTCATGACACTCCCTAAAATAAAAGAAAAAAAATTGTACTTGTTATAGGATCCATAAATTTAAGGTGTTATATATTCTGATAAAATCCTATTTAGTCACTCCAAAAAAAAAAAAAATGAATACCTTTTCGGCCATATCTTAAGATGAAAGATACTATAGTAGATAAAGTCTTATGCATTCTCTCTGTAACCAAATGGAATTGAGTACTCATTCAACCTTATCCTGGGATGAAAGGTATCAACTACCCATTTGATTTTGTCCTGTGATGAAGGATATCAACTACTCCTTCGGCCTCATCTTTGAATGAGAAGTGCTAATAACCTCTTCAACCTTGTTTTATAGGTACTGACACCCCTTCGATCATCTTAAAATAAATTAATAGCATAATTAGGATAAGTAACCAATAAAGAAATAATTAATTATCTAAATCATCAGAAAGATTAATCCAGGACTGACTCACCAAATCCATTAATCCAACATAGTGCCTATAAAAGGAAAATAAGAATAATAAATAAAAAAAGTTGACTACAAAATATTAAATAATATTTATTATTTTATACTGAATACTTACTTGACTATCGAAATGTGTCATCTATTCCAGATAAAAGAGAGCTTAAAATTTCATAAAAAATATTATAACGGGACGTAAAGATAGGCAAAGGTAGAATTACAGATTTTGATTGCAGGACGAAGGATAAGTATATCCTTAACAGGAACATATATTTTTTTTAAAGTGATAATTATAATTTTGTTAATATTTTAGAGATTAAAAAATATTTTTTTAAATAAATCATTATCTCATTATTTATTAACATAAAATTAATAATTATAATTATTTTACGTGTTAAAAGATATAGAATATACTCTTAATTTATAAGTCTCATTGTAAATTTTTTTAAAAAAATCATACCTGTTCACCTGAAGTTTTGTTTAGCGACTAATAATGAATTGGTATCTAGAAACAGAATCGAGCATTTACATGCATACTCGTAGAAACAAGGTCCACATGCATAGGGTAAAAAGTGGAGAAGTAATTACAAGATATTAGAGTCTGAAACATTTATAATATGGATATTGTTAAACTTAGCCTCAGTCTCTAGGGCTAAATTTAAATATTCATAAATAATTTTTTTTTATAAAAAAGTACATAATTATTATATTGAAGTTATAAAAATATAATACTTCTTTTTTTAATAAAATTTTATTATTATTAACTATTCATCCTTATTTTAAAGATTAAGGTTAACAAAACTTTTATAATATTAATACTAATGAATAATGCAAAAAATGTTGGATTTTACTGTTTAAAATGTTGAATAATAAAGATATAATAAAGTGAAAGACTTAAGTAGAACGATAATTAATTAATAAAAATATAATAAAATGAAAGACTTAATTTTGAGAAAAAAAATCCTTCACTTCTAATATTATATATATATATATATATATATATATATATATATATATATTAGTTGATAACTTTGTTTCTTTGTTTTTTGTTTAAAGAAAATATTAACAATAAGTCAATTTTTTGGAAACCTTGTTTATTTTTTGATATTATAAAGCTACTTTAAGTAATCGCTTTACTTACTTTAAGATAAATCCAATCTTGAACATTTTTTGATACATTTTTATTACATTTTAAGTATTTGCTTTTTCTTGCCATGAAGGGGACACAGCAACGACATAAACGAAATTGAGTCGATCACGTATTCCTATGAAATAACGTACATATGAACAAAAAAAATGGACCTTAGTAGCCTTTAATATATCAACGAGCATACTGAAAACTAATTTCAGATAAGAGTTGCGCCCCCGTTGGAACCCCTTAGGAGTCTCTTCCTATCGTGGAATTTTTTCGTAGTGAAGTTTTTATACATTTATAGTGGGTTTTTGTTACTCTTTATTGAGATATTTTTATATTTTTTCATTGTTCTTTTATGTGCTTATCTCATCTTGACTATCTTTGTACATGTGTTAATTCAAAAGAAGAAAAGAAATTAATAAAATTACCTTTTATGGTTGTAATAATCTAGAAAGAAAGAAAGAAAAAATTGTTTCTCACGGTTAAAATTGTGTTACTTGAAAGTAGATTAATTTTAAATTTTATTATATTCAATGTTCAGAAGATTGTTAAGTTATGTTTAGTACTGAGTATTCATATTTGATCTTTTATTATATATTTATCATGCATTGTTGAAATGTTTTTAATATTTCATTTTTTAATTGTTAAGTTATCTTTAGTCTTTTTTATAAGATATTTTAGTATCTTTCTTCCCATTGTAGTCACCATCATCTCATTGTTAATGAACTCCCCAGACCAATAGAATAGAATGATTTACTCCCTGATAAACTTTTATATATCACATATATATAGTAGTTATGTTTAGTTAATTAATTTCTTTAACTTGTAACATCTATATATAAGTTATATATATTGAGTCCATAACTGATATTTCTGTCATCTTCAGTGTGAATGGGTTATATATAACCAGACAAAGATTATGTACTTAGCTGAGATTATATATATATATATATATATAGTTCTCAACACAATAAATGCAACATTATAATGTATTATCCGGGCCGGCTTGAATTATTTCCTGGGCAGGATTTGTGAGATCGAAAATATCCAGGTGCTTTTGAATTATAGTGAAAAGAAATTAAATGGACTTTCATTCTACTTAGTGAAAAGAGCAGGTAGAATTCAGAGTATCAGGTTATGAAGAAAAATAAGAACAGAGTAACAATGTGCTCTGGCTAAATTATATTCGAGTCCTTAAAGTTTAACGAAAATTTGTGCATGATAAAAGAAAAATATTGAATATGATTTTGTTAAATCTTAAGAAATGGTGAGTATAATTTGTCTTTATCATCATTATTATTATTGTCTCAGTTGTTGCTGAATGAATTCGTGAAGGTATTTTTTGAGGAGAGAAAACGAAACAGCAACAACCCAGAAGACATTAGTAGCAATGTTTGAATTTGGCATCTGCATACTATTTTTGCTGTTGACTATTGTGTCATGAAAAAAGCCTTGTCCTATCTGGTGAATGGACTCAACTAGGTAATTGTTTTATGCAACTTGTGGCTTCGCTCGCGGAAGAAGAGTGGTGTTTTGTCTTCTTAATTATATCCCACATGTTGATAAATGATTCAGAAAACGAAGTTTTCTAATTTAATGTAATCATGGTAGGAAAAAATATATGGCATGTATCGAATTAATGTATACAACGTTATCCAAATAAATAAATAAGCATGCATATATATTAATTTCAAGAAAATTATATTGTAAGATCTAACTTTCGCTTATGTCTGTAGT